AAAAGCAGGCGAGGGCTGGGGAGGTTCCCATTGCGAGCCGCCGTGGCTCAGAGGGAGGCACGTCACCCTCCCTTTGCACCCGGAGCCCTCGTGCTCCCGGCTTGCAGTGCTCAGGGTGATAGGCACAGCTCCCCGGCCTCCTTGAAGGTGGAGCCCTGGTGGCATAGTGCTCTTGAGCTGGGCTTCGAGCAACAAGGCCAGCAGTTCGAAACCCACATCTATTCCTCAGCAGAAAGACAGGGCTTCCTGCTCTTGTGGACAGTCTTGGACACTCCACTCCATTCTACAGGGTCACCATGAGCTGGAATCGATTTGATGGCAGTAAGTTAGGTTCAGGGGCCCTGGTGGTGCAGGGGTTACTCATTTAAAACTACCAGCAGCTCCTCGGGAGAAAGACCAAGCTTTCTACCCCCATCAACAAGTTACAGTCTCGCAATCCCACCGGGGGTCGCTGTGAGTCAGCACGGACCCGGGGGCAGTGAGTGAGTGAAGTTTGGTGTTGGTTTTTAGTCGGCTTGGTATCGGCTTCCCTAGGGAGTCTTTTCTGCTCTGGCCAGCCCCAACTCACCAGGACACATCTGGAGATGTGTCCCGCACCAAGACACCTCAGAAGTCGCACTCAGGTGTGGCCCGGTGTCATCGGATGGGCCCACGCCTGGCAAGCCTATGTCCAACGGAGGGAGACACTACAGGGTCCAGCGCCATCCTCCAGCCGTGTCTACATTGGAGCCGTGGTTGTAGCCGCTGTCTCCATCGGACCGTCCCCCTCAGGGCCTTCTTGCCTTCTGCCAGACCTCCTATGGAACCAAGCGTGATGTCCCTTCCAGGGACTAGTCTTTTCTAATGACACAGCCAAGGTACGTGAGATCATGGCTTGCCATCCTGGCCTCTGAGGAGCATGCTGACTGTACTTCTTCCAAGACAGGCTGGTGTGTTCTCCCGGCAAGCCATGGTTCTTTCAGTGTTTTCTGCCAACACCAGAATGCTCCCTACTTTGGGCGAAACAAAGTCCCTCACCCCGCAGACCTAAGATCTTTGAGAATGAAGGTGCGCCGGACCCAGCCCTGGTCTTTTCCATCGCCTGCTCTGCGCCTGGGAGCTTGACAGTGAATCAGGAAGTCGGGAAGGAACGGATGTCCCTCGATGGTGGCGTCAGGGAAGAATATTGGCATGACCAGGGCTGTCAGAAGAACATGTGCGTCTGTCTTGGGAGAAGGACGGCCAGAATGCTCCCTGGAGGTTAGGAAGGCAAGACTTGGTCTCACATGCTTGGGACCTGCCATCAGGAGGGACCAGTCCCTGGGGAAGGGCACCGTGTTTGGTGAGGCGGAGGAAGAGCCTGGTTGCAATCGCCACGGGAGCTGCTGGAATGGGCTCTGACTGAGCAACAACTGTGAGGCCGGCAAAGGACGAGACAGTGCTTTGGTTTTTTATTTTGCTTCAATAAATCAATTTACTGGGGTCTCGTACAGCTCTTTAAAATACCCACACCTCCATTGTATCAAGCACATTGGGACATAGGTTGCCATCACCATTTCCAAAACATTTCCTTTCTACTTGAGTCCTTGGTATCAACTGCTCTTTTTTCCTCTCCCTCCCCCACCCTTGTGAACCCTTGATAATTTATAAATTATCTTCAGATTTTATACCATCCGCTGTCTCCCTTCACCCCCGTTTCTGTTGTTCATCCCCCTGGGGTCAGGGGGTTGTACGTCGATCATTGGGATTGGTTCCCCCTCTCTCCGCCCCCTCACCACCACCCTACCTCATGGTAACGGTACTCTCATTATTGGTTCTGAGGGGTTTATCTGTCCTGCATCTCTATGTGTTGAGAGCTCTTATCTGTACCAGTTTACATGTTCCGGTCTAACCAGATTTGTAAGATAGAACTGGAGCCATGATAATGGGGAGGAGGGGGTAAGCATTAAAGAACTAGAGGAATGTTGTGTGTTTCATTAGTGCTATACTGCACCCTGGCTGGTTCATCCCTTCTTGTGACCCATCTGCGAGGGGATGTCCAATTGTCTACAGATGGGCTTTGAGTTTCCATTCTGACCCCCCTCATTCGCATCGAAATGGTTGCTAATTTGGGGTCTTCTGATGCCCGATACCTGATCCCACGACACCTCGTGATCACACAGGCTGGTGTGCTTCTTCCATGGGGGCTTGTTGCTTCCCTGCTAGATGCCCATTTGTTTAACTTCAAGCCTTTAAGACCCAAACACTATATCTTGTAATAGCCGGGCACCACCCGCTTTCTTCATCGCATTAGCTTATGCACCCATTTTGTCTTCAGCAATCCTGTCGGGAAGGCAAGCATCACAGAGTGCTGGGCCATTAGGACACAGCATTCTTGACTTGAGGGGAGGGCGCTGGGCAGTGCTGTGTCCTGTTGTACATGTCATTGCTATTGGCTGAACCCATTGGAACACCACCTAACAACAACTCCTTCACACACACACACACACACACACACACACACACACACACACCCCAGACCTGAATGACGGTGCGGTAGAATCTCCACGCTCCCATCCAAGTGGGGTGCTCAGGGCTAGAATCCAGGGGCTCACAGCATTGCTTTTCAGGTTACACTCAGCTGGAGAGCTTGTAAAAGTTCCTCATGACGGGGACCCCTCCCGAATGCTCTCCTCAAAAAACTCGAGAGGTGGCCCTGGACATTCAAGCACAGGAACATCTCTCCCAGACAAGCCTGATCTCAGCTTAAGAACCAGTGGACCGGGCATGGAACTTGCCTCTCAGCTCTGCACCCAGCGAGTGACCCTCGGGGAAGGAAACACACATGGAGACTCACCTGATGTCTGCTCAGCGGGTTTCCCTTTAAACACTGGTATCGGACCAGAAGGAAAAGCGTGGTCCAGGTCAGGACCAGGGAGGCCAGGAAGGCAATGAAGAAGGCTGCAGCATGGAGACCGTGGTTTGGTAGAATCTGTAGGGACAAGAGAGAGAGAGGAGGGATTGGTCTGTGGCTTCCTGTGACATCTTGGGGTAGTGGTCGAGGGTTGAGCTGCCGTCTGCATGGTCAGCGGTTCGAAACCACCAGCAGCTCCCTGGGAGTAAGACTGGGCTTTCTACTCCCATCAACAGTCACCAGCTTGGAGATCCACAAGGGGTCGCTATGAGCCAGTTTCTTTGGAGTCAAATAGGGGGTGACCACTTGACACATCCAAGGTACGTGCGATGAAGTCTTCCCACCCTGGCCTCGAGGAGCATGCTGGCTGTACTTCTTCCAAGACAGGTTGATGTGTCCTCCTGGCAGGCCACGGTCCTTTCAATGTTCTTTGCTGACACCATAATGCCCCCTACTTTCGGTGGAAAGGAAGTGCTGGCAGGACATGCCCGGTGTTGCAGTCAAACGTGCCACGTGGGTTTGCAGCCGCGTGCTACCACCTGCTGGCTGGAGCACTCGGGAAGTCAATGGAGCCCCCTGGCCAGGAGCCTCCTTCCTGCGTGGGCTTCCACGGGGCATGTTTCTTCAGGACTGCATGAGACAAGCCCTTCGGGGAGCTGGTGCATGGTGCCCTGAACATACCAGGCTCTATGCAGCCCCATGTGTGGTGCAGAGAAAGCACTCAAGAAACGTTAAATCCAACAAATGGGCAGTGTTCCTTCACAGCCTCCCCTTCCCTGGTCTGTCTGCCTTGCCCTGCAGACGCTTCTCATCCGACACACAGTCGCCCTCTATTCTGGGAGCACCGTGAGATGGTGCATCGCTTGGGGGCCATGCAAAGCAGGGGGAAGGCCAAATTCCAGGCGATCAGGAGCGTGAACAGGGAAGAAACCCGTGGTCCAGATCAGGACGAGAGACCATGAAGTCATGGGTGGGCGTGAGAGGTTAGGTGGGCATACCCTGTCCTGCTTGCTTGTTTCTCAGCTACAGCCTGGGACTGGCGGTCCACAGAGAGCCCCGGGGTGACTGGCCTCAAGGAGCACCCGTGAGGAGCAGGTGAATTCCGACTCCTCACTCCACCTTCCACACTTTCCGGGAGGCCGTTCCGATTCGTGGCAAGCACATGTGGGTCAGAGGAGAATTTGGCTCCATGTGGTTTTTAACCAAGGGTTTGGGGGAAGTCAAATAGTAGACCTATGGTCCAAGATGCTTGTATGGTAGCCTTTTGGTTAGCAGGTGAGCACAGCAAGGGGTGGATCTGCCCCAGCCAGGGGCCCCAATGCAAGCCAGTTGCCCCTGGGTTGATTCAGGCCCAGGTGACCGGGTCCCTGAGGAGAACTGCAGTCCACATGGTTTGCCATGACGACCATCTTTCAGGAGACGTTCACCAGGCCTTTCCTCCAAGGTGCTGGGTGGATTTAAACTGCCAACATTTGGGTGGAGTGCATCACGGTTAGGACCACTCGGTAATGCCGACCAACAGCAGAATTGGCGGCTTACCATGCCTCAGCCTGGAGCTGCATCGGACACACCCGGAGCATTTATGAAAAGACAGATTCCGGGGCCCACACCCTAAGTTTCTAATTCACCACGTCCAGGGTGGGCCCCAGGAATCTGCAGTCTTAACAAGCAAGTTCCCTAGATCCAAACTGCGGTGGAATCCACAGAAATCAAGTCCACGACAGACACGCTCAATATCGGCGGCTAAAACCAGACCATCAAAGGCGCATCTGTAAGTTCAGGTGAAAGCTGAAGAATCATTCAAACAAGCCTAGGAGAGCCAAACTATGACCTTGAGTCGATCCCACCTGAATTTCGAGACCATCCCAAGAAGAGACTCGACGCAGTAAGCACTCATGAGAGAAGCCCCGAGGGGCTGCGGAGGCCATCAAGGACATCACAAAGAAAGCAACAAGGCACTCAAAAGACAGGGAAGAAAGAAAGACCCGGATCCTAATCATAGAACAGCCAAAGCCAACGGAGACGTGATGACCTCAAAGAGCTGACTGGAAGTTCAAGGGCAGCTCGAGAAGAAAACAATAAAATACTAGCATGAACTGTGCAACGACCAAGAGTTAGCGAACCAAGAAGGAAGAGCACGCTGCTGGAGGATCTTCCTCGGTTCATTGACTTGACCAAGCATGACGTCCTTCTCCGCAGACCGGTCCATCCTGTTAGCACGTCGAAAGTACACGAGATGAAGTCTCATGCTGGCTGGGCTTCTTCCGAGAGAGCCTTGTGGGTTCTTTTGGCAATCCACGGTACTTGCTGCATTGGCCACCGCCACCTTCATGCAAACGCACCAGTTCTTCGCTGGTCTGCCTGATTTATTGGGCAGCTTTTGATGTGAGGCTTCGATCACGCGCATCTTAGTCCGCAAAGTAACTTCCCTGCCCCTTAACAATGTAAAGTGGTCTTGTGCCGGAGATTTGCCCAATGCGATGTGTTTTGTTTTTGTTTTTTAAGGTTTTACTGTGAATTATGTGAAGGGTTGCAGAGCAAGTTATCCATTTCATATTCAATAACTCACACAGGTTTTGTTTCAACTAATCTACTATAATCCCCTCGGTGGACCACCACGTACTGTTTCTCCTAGTGCTTCCTGTTTCTCCTCCTCCTGATTCCCTCACCCTCTGAACTTTGTCCCTGGGTAAAGGTTGCCCTTTTGTGTCGTAAATGGTTGGTTATTCTAACACGGGGTGAATTCCCCGTGAAGGGCGGCTTACAGCCATAGTCGAGGTGGTGCCGCCTGTTTGCCCGACTATTAAGCCTTGTTTCTTCCATAATTTTGAGCTCTGCTGCAGTTTTCTCCCATTCTACCAGGACCTTCTCATGGGCTCTGTGGCAGGTACATCATCTACTCTCAACTGGAGGAAGGGGTGGAGTCTAGCCTGTCAATCAGGTCGCAGCTTGATGACCTCATTTGCAGGCCAACGGAGATAAATAGCTCACTGGAGGCAGGACACACACTCTGCTTTGTCTTCCTGTTGACAAGCCACATGGAGCCAGAGCCTTGGAGCTGAAGGAGCCATGTGGAGACCCACGCCAGCGCTGAGATGCTTCCACTGCCACTGGATCCACAAGACTTCCCACCCACTGACCTGTGGCCTTTCAGCATTTAGTGTCATTTCATGTGTTGCGTATGTCTGAAGAGGAATTTATAGATTGGTATTGGACATAGAGGGTAATATTGGACTTATGGGCTTGATCTGACTGGGCTGGGATGTTTTCTCAATGTACAATTGCTCTTTTGCATAAAACCTTTTGGTATACACATATGAGTGTCTATGAATTTGTTTCTCTGGTCCACCCAGACTGACACATCCTTTTCAGAGAGGTCACAGTGGTGGCCAGGCACCACCTAGTTCTTCTGGTGTCAGAGTGGTGGAGGCGAGGCGGCCGACACTTGCACGGTTCATTCGGTCATTGGACTGTTTCCATGTGTCTTTGACTCTCCTCATTCTCCTTTCCTCGGGACAGGGAGAGACCCATCGCTGCACCTTAAAAAGGATGCTCACAGCTTTTGAGATCTTAGTCCTTACTAATCTTTCCACTAGGGTAACTGTCTTACAAATGTCTTGGCACGAGTAGCAAGTGCTTCCAGCTTTGCATCAGCTTCTCTGAAACATTTCCGTTCGTGTTCTGTCAACTCCTGGGCCTTATTTTTCACTAATGCTTCCAGTGCAGCTTGCACATCTTCCTTCATTACTATCGGTTCTTGACTGTGTGCTACCTCTTGAAAGGGTGGACTGTCAGTCCATTCTTTTGGGTACAATGCCTCTGTGTATCCCTTCCATATTCTTTCGATGCTCCCTGCAACACACACTGTTTTGCCTGTAGAATCAGCATTGCAACTCGAGGCTCGGACTTCTTCTTCAGGTCCTTCAGCTTGAGATACCCTGAGCGTGTGCTCCCTGCTGGTTTTCTAGCTCTGGCCTTTGCCCGTTTCATTAAAATGCTTTTTGTCTTCTCAGGCTGCCATTTGAAAGGTCCAGTTCAGCTCTTTCAGGATGGGTCTCCCATTCGTTTTAACTACTCTACATTCAAGAGCGAATTTCAGAGTCTCTTCTGACATCCACTTTGATCTTTTCTTTCATTCCTATTTTTTTAATGCCTCCTGCTGTCCTCCTGCGTGGTGCTTTTGGTGTCCTTCTATAACGTTGCTTCGGTTATTCGTGTTCAATGCGATTCCATCAAGTCTTTTCTTTAGCTGGTCTCTAGATTCAGATACAATAGACTCAAGGTCCTGCTCTGGCTCCTGTGGGCTTGGTTCCATTTCCTCCTGCTTCAACCAGAACTTCTATGTGAGCAGCTGAGGGTCTGTCCCACAGTCAGCCCCAGCCTGCTGTTAGCTGTTGATATTGAACTTCTCTATCGTGTCTTCCCACAAATGTAGTCAATTTGATACCTGTGTACTCCATCTGTTGAGGGTCCTGTAGACAGCTGCCATTTGTGGTGTTGAAACGATACGTTTGCAATGAAGCCCACGGGTCTTGCAAAAGTCTCTCCTGAGAGCTCCAGCTTGCTTTCCATTTCTGAGGCCAGATTTTTCCAACTACTAATAGTTCCTTTGCTTCCAACTTCCACATAGCAGTCACCAATAATCATCATCAATGCATCTTGATGGCATGTTTGATCATTTCAGAATTATCAATGCATCTTGATGACATGTTTGATCATTTCAGAATTATCAATGCATCTTGATGGCATGTTTGATCATTTCAGAATTATCAATGCATCTTGATGGCATGTTTGATCATTTCAGATGGAAGAAGTTGATAGAGTTCTACAATTTCTTCTTTCGTGGTTGGTGTGTGAATTTACACAATAGTGGTACTGATTGGTCTGCCTTGTAGGCCTATTGATATTATCCATCACAGACCGTTTTATATTGCAAAAGAGAACTTAAAATGTTCTTTTTGATGACGAAGGTGAAGCCCTTCCCTTTGAATTTGTCATTCCAAGCTTCGTAAACTATGATTGCCAGACTCAAAATGCCCAATACCAATTTCAGCTCACTAATACCTAGGATTTCGATC